ATCAATATGGAGATCCCTACTTCAAAGATCTAGGATTACAGGTTCTATTTGACCCAGCTATTCCCCTACTGGGTATCTTCCCAAAAGAATGAAAAGAATTGTATCACAATGCTGTATGTACCCCCATGCTCATAGCAGCACAGTTTGTGATAGCTAAAACTTGGAAACAGTCCAATTGCCCATCAACTGGAGACTGGATAAAGAAGATGTGGGTTTTTTATAAAATGGAGTACTACTCAGCCATAAAGAATGAGAAATTAGAGACATTTATAGCTAAATGGATGCACACTGAGGTGATTATCTTAAGTGAAATAAATAGGACAGATGTGTAAATACTGAATAGTTTCTCTGGTTGAGAAACTAAAAGTGTAATAAGGATTAGAAGGCATAATAATGTGAAATAAGAAGAAAAGGTCTAAAGGAGAATGGGAAATGGGAGGGGTTGAGGTAAGAAAAGAAGGGAATGGAATTAATATGAGAAGAGGAAAAAATGGAAACAAGGTCTTTGTAAATAGGGAGGGGTGGAAGGTTTGAAGAGAGGGCAGGGGAATGGGGAAAAAATAAGCACCAAGATGTATTATGTAAAGGTTCAAATTCCAATGAAGAATGTCATTATATTGTATACCTAAAATGAACCAATAAAATTAATAATAATAAAAAAGAATATGTTAAAGGGCCAGGGATGTAACTCAGCAGCACTGTGCCTTCCTGGAAAGATTGAGGTCCTGAGTTTGATCCCTGGAACCAGAAAAAAATATAATATATTAAAGAACATATTTACTATTTCAATAAAGAGTAAAAATGCAAAAAAGAAACATTAAGGAATGATGAAAACAGCATTTATTATATGCAAATGTGTATGGTGTCACCAGTGCAATGAATTAATAACCTTATTACAGTAAATACTACCTTAATGATGATTTCATCAAGGCTTAATGAAAATATATGCCATATTTTAATTCCATGTCATTGCAAATTTCTAAAGATATTTTGGAGAATACTGGGTTTTTTAAATGCTAAAAATTACTTATTACTCCCAAAACACAAAAAAACAGTGTATTTCTTGTATCTTTCAGGAAATGAATAATTCTTCAGTTTGCAAATAATTTGCATGAGAAGTGAAACTGAATGCACTGTTCAAAGTCTTAATGATGCCTATGCGGAGACTGCCAAGCTCCAAAATTTCTAATAAATGACCACATAATAAAGATTAAAATAATGAGCAAAATAATTAAGAATGAAGCATACATATGGCACATAAGCTTTTAATGAAGCCTTTAGAGTTTGCAAAGACCAATAGATATAACATTACTCTCACTGATTTTTATTACTATCTTTCAGAGATGGAACAGATATTCAGAAAGAATTAAACATGTTAAGTAACCTCTCTTATAAAAGTAGTTTTTTAATTGTGCTTGAAATATAACCAACACCTTGGTTGACATCACTTTTGAAATTAAAAGTGTTGATTCTCCTTATACTACATCAATATTGATTAAATAAACCTAAAATCTTTGAATTTTAACTATTCATATACTTTGTAGTGAAATTAAACTTACTATCAATTTTCTTTATACAAATTTTAGAAGTCTTATTTATATATGTTATATATTACAGTCCTTTCATAAATATATCTGAATTGCTAACATCTTAAAGAATGTTAATAATTTTAAATGATTAAATTTGACTTGGCTTTGATTGATATAATCTCCCCCTGAAAAAAAGCTTTTGGCTGTAATGAAATTTTTTTGTTTTTTAACTTGAAAAAAGTCTCACAAAAGAAGCAGGATAAATGACATTTTGAGTACTTTTCTGAGTAAGAGAGAATATTTAAATTTTTTAATTAAAAAAATTATTATAGTAAAAGACACATTGCCATTAATACCCCTCAAAACTCCTCCTTCACTTTGAACAGAATTATTCCATTGTTCTTGGCACTTTCTAAAGCATTTCTGGAAGTCCTCTTCTGTGAGTGCCTTTAGTAACACTGCTTTAGCTGCTTTGATGTTATCAATTGATTCAAAATATTTATCTTCCACGGTCAGCTTAACTTTGCAGAAAAGCCAGAAGTTTCACAATGGTAGATCCAGTGAGTAAGGTGGATGAAGACATCATATTTTTTGCTCTTGCCTTTCTGTTGTCAGTGGCATACACCATAATATTTTAAATTACACCTCATAAAGACGAAGAGGACTTTCAGAACTGCTTCAGAAAGTGGCAGGAATAATGCTATAAATGTGTTCAAAGCAAAGGAGAGTACTTTGAGAAAGATGTTTTGTAATGTGCCTTTTACAGTAATATATTTTTTAAATTTGTATTTAAACATTCATCATATTTTCAACCATATTGCATAGATAGTCACAACATCTAGATACTTTGGCTACAGAGAACAATGAGCTCTCATACTTGTTGAGAATCATCTTTTCAAATATCCAAAAATCATCTGGCCATGCTATATACACCCTTTCCTCAAAGTTGACATTAAGTAGAACTTTTCTTATTTAAGATATAATGTAGTTGGGAAGTTGGGAATCTCAAGCAACCACTTCAGGTCACCTCTTATTCAACAAGAACAAAGCAACCAGTACTTTCTCAATGACAACTCTGCTGGTAATCCAGGGGATCCAGGCGGAGTGGATGCACTCTGTGCCAGGTAGGCTAAAAAGATGTAAAGCCAGTCCTACTGTTATCAGTGCAAAATGCACACTAGACTAAGGAAAAGAAAGACTAGAAACCAGTAAGTGGTTTAAGACTAGAAAAAGCACTTCTATAACAAGAGTTTGCATCTCCCCACAATTTTCCCCAGGTGCTGAATATGGATCTACAGGTTTAACATTTACCTTGCTGAATTTGTTTTACTTTGGTCCCATTCCTTTATATACTCTTGTTCTTCCTCTTTAGAAATGCATTGGAATATATATCCCGTGTCATTGTACGTTGGCAGTGTCTAATTTATTTTTGATATGAATAGGGCTTGCAGTTAAAATTTTGCCTTGAGTCTCAGAGGAGACTTTGGACTTGAACTTTTCACCAGTGTTGGAACTGTTAAAACATTTGGGGTTGTTGGAGATGGACTAAATGCACTTTGTATAAAGAGATGTTCGTGAATCTTTTGAGGAGCAGGGTTAAAATTTTATGATTTAGGTCAAACTTGGCCTCCAAAGACTCATGTGTTCAGAAGATGATTGTCTTACTGGGCCTTTTATAGCTGATTTGCTATTGGAGTTGGGGTCTAGTCAGGAGAAATGGGTCACTGTGATCATGACCTACAAGAGTCTCCCTCTCCAGGTTTTTTCTTCAGCCCTCTGCTTCTTGTCTGCCATCAGGTGGGCAGCTTCTCCTCCTCGCAGGCCCTTCCACCAAGTCTTCCTGTCTTGGAACCAGTTAATAGTGGATTAAAACTGTGAACCAAATAAACCTCTTCTTTAAGTTTTGGATGTCGAGTATTGTGTCCAAGTGAAGAGAAAGTAACTAAGACAGTATCCTTAGTTCCAACACGTATTGGCAAATGGGTTTTTAAAAATATTTATTTTTTGCACTATTACTATGTCCCTTTTTGAGATTAATTATTAAGGTACTAAGTGAAATCAATTGAGAAACTATTACAACTGAGAAGACTTCATATAAATGAGTGCTCTCTGACAGTTTTCCTTTAAAGTAGTAGTAAAGAAGGAGAATGATATTTCTGGCTCTTTAAATTTTAATAATAGAGCAACAGCACATTTAATTTTACCAGATGCTAATTGGTGCTTAAAATTAAAGTTTGTAATTTCTCACAGCAGCCTTAGGAAGCAGGTATTGTTTTCATCCCCCTTTTAAGATGAAGAAAGTGAAGCACAGCCAAGGCCCTAGTAGTGCAGAGTGGACCAAGAGAGCCAGGGCACAGGCTCATATTACTTTTTTTTTTTTTTTTTGGTGCCGGGGATCGAACTCAGGTCCTTCCACTTATGCAGCAGGCGGCAAAACCACTGAGCTAAATCCACGGCCCAAGGTTCATATTACTGCCTCAACCTCCGGTGCAGCATGGCCCTGTGCCTGGGTCTTTCTAGAATCTGTCAGCAGCAACGTTAGTTGTGCTAATTAATTAGAAAGGAAAGTTTGGTAAGATGCTGTGAAGACAAAAGCACATCAAAAACACAATGCTTTTGTTAAAATGTATGTGCATTTGGGGGACTTATTACCACTGAAAACAAGTTCATGCTTTGACACGAGGTGGTGTTGTTTTTATTTGGTATTCGTTTTTGATTGCATCCTTAATAGTGACTGATATTGGAGCTGGGAGTGTAGCTCAGTGGTTGGGCACATGCCTAGCATGTGTGAGATCTTGAGTTTGATCCCTAATATGACATATAGTCACAAAAAACTCTTTTCAAAGAAATTATTTTTTAGAGTTGATTAGAGTTCTATTATTCAATCATTTTATTACTATTAATATAAAAATTAATTTGCACCTTCATCAGCTTGCCTTTCCACAGAACTTCTGAGTTTCACCCAGCCCACTTGAGGGACTGCCAGAAAGGACCCCAGGGCTGGGAGTTGCCAATAGTTATGTATGGTGCTGCAAGACACAGTTAGGTAACTATACTTTAATTTCATTCAATATTTACTTTCTCTGGTTACTGAAGCTGTGCTTATTAATTCATATTTAATTAATTTATATGGACATGGTTTGTCATTATCTACTCCAATTCTCACATAATGAACTGGGGTTTTTGTAACAGAAATGCAAACAGAATTTTCATAAAAATTATTTACTTGACTGTTTAACATAAATACTCAATTTTGTATTCATAAGAAGACCAGGTGCCTCATTTAACCTGCCTATATTCATTTACATAATTCATGCTTCATTTGCTTAGAAAGTGTATTCTAATAACATTCTTCAAGATAAAGTGTGTATTGTTTTGTAGGTGTGGAAACAAATCCAGGCAATGAGTCTGAACCGTTGACACTGTTCAACCATGTCTTTTTTGTTTTTCTGTATTTTATTTGGTCTAGAAATAGAAGTTAACATTTTGGAAATGTCACATTGTAGAATGCTGAGTATGTGTCACATCATAGTGAATGTTTCTGGGGCAGGGTGTGGGAAGAGCCTGGACAAATGATGTGAAAGAGCTCACTGCCACTCCAGAGAGAAGTAGCATCCTGGGAGGTGACAGGAAGGAGATGCTGTGGTTATGTATGGTGTCCATCAGCTGACTTTAATAATCACGACAGAAAGGAAAAAAAGCAATGTCTTCATTCTTCAGCTAGGAGTTAAACAACAACAAAAAATAATAAATTTTACAAATAGTATTAAGGGCCTTCCCTAACTCCTTTTCAGGTTTTTAAAAAATCCTAAATAGAGCTACCAGGAGGCAGAACTACATGGTAGATATGGGGGAGTTCAAAGTAAATCAATTGATTATCTCATTAAGAGTTCCACTGCAGATCTGAACATGAGACTTAAATAGTACGAGACTTATCTATCCATTAAAAACAATCCAAAGAGAATCCTTCCCTAGTGCATAGAGCATCAGGGTTGATAGCATGAAGACTCTACCACACTTCTTCCCCAACCTGAGGGAAATGATTCACCTCAAGCCAGCAACACAATGAAATGCCTCTTTTGATGGGAAATCTAAGTCTCAGGTTGAGCATGTCTTGCAGAACTGAGGATGCTGGTTCATGCCTTAGGTCTGCATACTCTGCTGTATTCGGAACATGGATTGCACACTGCCCGTAGTCAGTTGTTCTGAGACTTTCCAGCGAACCAGCACGAAGTGTTGAGAAGAGAATAGGCCTTCCAGTCATTAATCCTGGGGCCTGTTACTGCCTTTGTCATTGTGAGTGATCTTAGACACACTGCGTAATATTTCTAGGATTCAGTTTTCCTTAACTGAAAAATGGCTATGCCTACCTTTCCTACCTCACAGTGTTAATGTGAAAATCAAACGAGTTTGATAGAAAATATCAAACTTAATTGTGAAATATTAAAACATTCTTCTTAAAATCAGAACTAAGAGGGATGTTCTATATCAACATTTCTACTCAAAATTACATGTACATAGAAGATATTTGCTATAGTTTGGGTCTAGAATATCCCCCAGAAGGCCCATGTGTTAAAGGCTTGATCTTCAGTGTGGCCATATTGGGAGGTGATGAAACCTTTAAGGGACGAGTCCTAGTGGGAGAAAATTAGGTCACTTGGGTGGGAGGTGCCTCTGACCAGCCCCTCCCTCCCTCTCTTTCCTTCCACACACCATGAGATAAATAGATTTCTCCACCACATGCTTCCCATCATGATGCGCTGCAACAACACAAGCCCAGAAGCCAAAAGGCCAACCAACCATAGACTGAAACTCCTAAAAGCACAAATCGAAATAAACCTTTATTCCTCATAAGCTGATTTATCTTAGGTATTTGTTACAATAATGGAGAGCTTACTAACACAATGCTAGTAAATATAGCAATGAAAACTTATGAAAAAATGTATAGGATTAGATACGAAGGGTCAGAATTTTCGTTACTCCTACAGAATGTGATAATTTGTCTAACAAATTCAAAAGAATCTAGAAAAGTAACTGGACTTACAAAGCATTCAAAAGATTTCTAGCTCTATGGTTAATATAAAAAATCAATTGCATTCCTATATGTCAACAAGAAACATAAAGAAAATGTAATTTTAAAGTTATTCATTTTATAATATCCACAGTAGTATAATATTTCTAAGAATTCATCTAAAATATTGGGGCACATTTGTGGGGGGAAAGATGCAATATTATTGAAAAACAAAAGAAAGGACTTAAGTAAATGGAAAGACAATTATGTTCATATATAAAAAGACTCAATATCATAAAATATTAGTTGCCTAAATTTGCTTGTCAATCAATGCAATTCCATTCAAAATTCTAATGAGATTTATTTTAGAGAATGTTTCTGTTTCTATTTTTTATCAGTACATGTTTGAAGTACATAATGATTACATTCCTCATGGGGAATTGGTACATGTACCTAACACAGTTTAACTCTTTTTTTCAATCACTTGCTTCTCCACTCCCTCCCCTCTCCCTCCATTTCTTGATCCTCTTCCCTTTTGCAAGAGAACTATCTCCCTTTTTCCTATTATCGTATTATCATAAAAGAGAAACCACGTGACATTTAAGCTTGTGTGTATGATTTATTTCACTTAGCATCATGGTCTCAAGGCACATCCATTTTCTTACAAATGACTCAGGTTTACCCTTTTTTATGGCGTAGAACTTTTAAAAATGTATTTCAGAGGATATATGGAGATGATAAAGCCTAAAATTAGTCAAGTCTGAAGAAAAGTAGAACTTCCAAAATGTGGAGATGTGTTACTAAGCTCTGAGAATGAGGGCCTTGTGGAATCCAGAGAGATAAATACATCAGAGAAGACAAGCCCAGAGACAAACTACAATACAAGGAAACCTCACACAGAACAGAGGAGGCCTGAAAAAACAAACAGTAGAATAGTGTTTCAATGAATATGGTGTTCACTCTTATTGAAAAAGTATAGTTAAACTTAACAACAAAAGTAAATTGAAGGAGGATTCAATAGTTATATGTAAATAGAGAAAAATACTTGAACATCATTTTAGGGGGAAAAAAATGGAGATGTCATTGCATTCGAAATTAGGAAGAATCTGGGCACAGCAGTGCACACCTGTAAACCCAACATTCCAGGTGGCTTAGGCGGGGGGGATCAAAGTTCAAGTCCTACCTGAGACACTTAGGAAGACCCTGCCTAAAAATTAAAAAAAAACCAAAAAACAGGACTGGGAATGTAGCTCAATGGTAGAAGATCCCTGGGGTTGGATACCAAACATACATGCACACGCGCACTTGCACACACACACCCAAAGAGACTAAGATTTCTTGAAAAAGTCCAAATTATAGTCATACTGGAAAAACTGAAGTTCAACTACAGTATTTTAAAGCCTGCAACTTTACTACAAAAAGGCAGTATGAGAAAAAACAAGTCAAGACTGGTGAAAATGTTTTCAATAAACAGAAGTGCAAAAGGATGTAGAATACATACAGAACTCCTCAAAATCAGCATTAAAAATGCGTATCTTAATTACAAAACAGGCTAAGTATATAAAAGAGTAATTCATCAAAAAATAAGAAATACAAACGATAAGCATGTGTGCACCTGTGTGTGTGTGCATGCATGCATGGAGCTTCATATCAGTTTCATTTTTTAAAGAATTCTATATTAAAATTATTAATGAGAGAGCTCATCAAATATAGCACGAAGATTTCACAAGTCTGATAATGCTAACTTTCCTATGGACAGATATGGGGAAATAAAATTTCTTAAATTTTTCTAATGGTAATTTAATTTTGTACAATTACTTTGAAGAGTAATTTGACAATATTTGATAAAGACATACATACAGTAACAACCTGAAATTATATTACATACACAAATGTATACATATTTATTTATTGTATTTTCTCTACTATTCTGCTACTTAAAATGTTTCATAATTTTAAATTATCCTTTTGTTGAAGGAAAAGGATCAGTATACATACATATATCCATTTAAAAATAATTAAAATCTTTAAAGATAATCTGTAAACTCTGTAGAATGTAAGTTTCTAAAACATATTGTGTGAGTTGCTATTTGTCATTAATAACCTCCCCATAGTTGGATAATTATCTTAGGTGTTTATTTTCTTTTTAGGAAGGGAATGCTTTATATAAAAAAAAGAATAGAGCTCATTTATTTCTACATATCCTCTTCCCTCATTATCATATAGTTTACATTTAGTATGAGCTCATAAATATTCAGTTTACTTGAGAAGGTTGGGTTCCACCCACTCATTCTGGACCAATAAAAAAGAACAGGATGCCCTTAAGGGTGAGTGTATTTTCCCCCAAAAAGGCAGAGTAATGGAAAACTATATTTCTGAGCTACTTATATATACTTGAGCTCTGATTTTGGACTCTTCTGAATTTTTAGAATTGGCTGGAATACGATAGTATGGTCTTTATTGATCCATATCCCTTGCTTAACTCTATTCTAAATCTCCAGGGTCAGCCAGGATTCCTGGAATATAGAGATACCTGGAGAACCAGGCTATGGAGAGGGGCATCTGTTATATGCTCCTCCCAGAAAAACTGGAATACTTAAAAGTATTAGTATGTTCTTTGAGACAAGAGGTTTATTTGTCTCTCCAGGGTTTAGTACAGTAGTTATAAGCATACGTCATTTTGTTATATTTCATTTGATTGCATCTTCCAAATACTGAGTATTTACAAATTGAAGATCTGTGGAAACTGTGTTTCCAGCAAGTCTAATGACACCATTCCCCCCCAACTCAGATAATTTTTTAGCAATAAAGTAATTTAAAATTAAGTAGGTACACTCTTTTATATGCAATGCTATTATTATGCATTTAATAGACTACAGTATACAGAAAACTTTTATATACTAGAAAACTAAAAGCCATGGGACTCACTTAGTTTTGATATTCATTTTATTAGTAAGTTTGAAACTGAATTTGTAATGTCTCCCAAGCATGCTTATGCTAGAATGATATTATACTTAGTTTTCTAAATACTCTTTTACCTTTACTTGGGATTAATGGGTTTTCAATTTAGTTTTTAAAATATTTAATTACATCTTGCTCAACCATTAAGAAAATGTTGTGATGTACTATCAGACAAGTTTCAATTGAATCATAAATTTTTTGTTTGTGTCAAATAGTTACTGGCAATGGATTTCTCAGTCATTTTTTCATGATATAGAAGTATAAATAACTTCTAGACATGAATAATACATCAAGCAAAGTAGAGTTCAATAACTCTAATCCAGTTTTATATAAAAATCAATTGCTATTTTTTGGCATTCAATTCAATCTTTCCGCCTATTGACAGTGATATCGCTTCATTTGACATTCTTGAGGAAAAACATAAATAAAACAGCTGAAATGTATCATTCTTTCCAAAATAAAAATCTGAAATACTCATACATCTGCCAAATATCACCTTCTCAGTGCAATGAAGGGCACCCAAAAGGTAGAATAATTGGTTTAACTTGTAACACTTTATCAATTCTTGGCTGGTAATGTATAACAAAACTCAATATCTTGAAAAATTTCTCCACTAATTGTTCTAACAATACTGATGCAGCTGGGTGTGGTGGTACTTGCCTATAATCTCAGTACTCTGGGATTCTGAGGCAAGAGGATCACAAATTAACGACAACATAATGACTTTGCAAGACCTTGTTTCAAAATT